TTCTCTAAGTGTAGCTGATCTAAAGAGGTAATCATTTTTTTTAAATGAACAAAATTATACTAAATTCGCAGCTATATTTAGATGCACTTTAACTAACTGTAATTAAGATTTAAAAATAATATTATTGCTGAAATTCATTTACTTGTTTCAAAACTAAACTTCATTTTAATCGAGATCAATTATAATAGGTTCCGTAATCTAGATTCTATTTCTATTAGTTAACGTAATTGTTTTAGAGAAAAATGTAAGCTAAGCTCCGTACTGAATTCGAAAAGTTGCAAAAGATGATTCATTTCAATTTCAATTTAAAGAAAGCGTTAAGTTGAGGTCACTTCTCTCATTCCATTTGTCGAAAGAACACAATACCATTGGTTATGTAACTCACTCAGGATAATTCCAACGAAGAAGATCGATCTCCGGCGTGGTTCACTGAAAAATAAATTCGACAGACCCTTGCTTCCTTCAACTCTATAACTTTTCGATGCCATTTAGAACCGGCCTTATTTCATCGGTACTCTAACTTTAACTTTTCTCGATTTAAGAAACTTTATAGATAGTTAAAACTAAATTAATTCGAAGAATTTAAAAATAATTCAAAATTCACACATTAATTCAAAATATGGTTTGCCTCTGGGCACTTTCTTCACAGTATTCCAAAATGGTATTTGATTTGTTGACATTTGATTCGCATTTGTCTCTCAAAAATAACTTTGCTTCGCAGCACATTTAAATTGTTTTAATTCGTGTAGATCAAATCTCTGCCACAAAAGCGAAAAAACAAGAGTTTGGTCAAATTCGTTAGGCCATGCCAAAAGACAAAAATATTGAAGTGAGGTTAAATCTGACCGGCCACGGCAAAGGCACAAAAATATGGATGTGAGGTTAAATAAGACATGACTCGCAGGTCAAAGTTTCGCTACAGGAACCATGAAAACACAGAGAAATCCCTAAACGGCTCCTGGTAGAGATGCGTTGCTCGATCAGGCAACGATGCGCTGCAGGATTACTCTCCCTCGAAGTTCAGCGGCGCAGCCATGCTAATTAGACATCCTTACGGCTCGCAAGCCCCTCCTAGGAGGCCACCCGAGAAGGGTGCTCCTTAGGACGCTCTGGAGTTCAGCAGAAGTTCTCGATGCTTGTTCCTGAACCCTCTTTAGCTCCTTTTAAAGCTCCTTAACTCGTTACGAGATTATTCCGTTCCGTGTTGACAATTCTTTAACTCTTTATGAGTTCATTAAGTGGGGCACGATCTGTAAATGTGATTTGATTAAGACCGTGTCGCACTGGCGGCGGCTATGGCGTACCTGTGCCCCAAAAAATGTAATCCTGGGAGTTTCCTGCTCGGTTCTCCACTGATGATGATTACTGTGCCGACTAGGCGCCAGCAACGGCGGCGAGGAGCCCCGTCTGGGTCTCGGCAGCGCCGGCAAAAAGCTAAGTTTGCGATCTGCAGAAAATTCGAGGTTAAATATAACCAAAATACAGACGCAAGCTTACTCACTTTATAAAAATCACTTGTGGCACTTGTTCACCACTTCAACTAGCTGGATGCCACTTCGCGATTCAATATTTCGCACTTTGCAAGCTTTTTAACTCAATTTTCTCAAACGGAGAGACGCACGTCCACTTTCGCTGCCGGTTCAATGAAAAAGAATGGCCGCAGGAAATGAACTTGACAGCCTGGTCAAAGGACGACAATCTGGCAACGCTTTTAAGCTTGCCATCGATACTTAATCGATATGGCTACACCGATCTATGTCTGATCTGGTAACGCTTCTAAGCTTAATATCGATACCTACTCGATATGGCCACACTGATCTATGTCAGATCTGGTAACATCAACCCCAGGATCTCAAATTCAAATTTTAATCGCAATTGGTTTAAATCTGAGATATAATACTAATCAAATTCTGGTCTAGCCAATCGGGTAAGCACAAATCGAGACAAACTCTGTTCGTTTCTCAAACGAAATTATTTAATGAATATTTCACTTTGCAGACGCTACAGGCGCCGTTACAGCTTCTTCTGGGGAGCTGTCGTAGTTTATGATTTGCCTGGTAATGTTGATCGGTGTTGATGAGCTAGTATTTGAAGCTTTAGTAGTATGTGTTTTTGTTTCTTTTGTAGATGGTTTTTGTGATGGCAGTGCGGCTTTCAAAGAGAAGGGGGTCGGTGGGTGGATGTGACAAGTGCTGTAGATGTAGCGGGCTGTTTTGTGATCGACTTTTTGAAGTGTTTTTATGGCAGTCAGTTCTTTTTGCTTGATGAAGGCACGGCAGGATTTGTCCATTGCGTTATCGTGTTTAATTTCTTCATCTTCGTATTTGCAATTGAAAATGGAATAAAAAAAATAAAAAAAACACACACAACACAATTCACACTACTGGCGAGGGTGAAGGACCTGCAAGCCGACATAGGGGAGTGGCTCAACTCTGCTCGGAAGCCTGAGGAGACGGATCGACCCGAAACTGCAGTAGCATGCCGCAACTGTTCCCAGGGCGGGAACAAGATTGAGGGCACTCAGAGGCGGGACGCAGTACAGCAGACGCCCAAGGTCTGGAGCAAAGACGGCGCAACACAGACGGAGGTGCGGCGAGCCCCGATCACTACAGAGAAATCGCAAGTAACGGCGACCAACACGAGCGCGAAGAACCTGCGGCGCGCCCCCACGCCGGCTGAAGCTGCTAAGCAGGGGAAAACTTCCGCAAGAGGGACACCCGCGGCCAGCGCGCCCAAATCCAAGGCACCCAACCCGCCGCAGCCAATCGGCCAAGCGACTGAAGGCCCAGAAGCCGAGGGAGGCGCCTGGAGAACCTTCACGAGGAAAAAGCGGCGCAAGAAACTCGAGGCTCCTCATCGATCCCGCCCGGACGCTGTCATTATAGCTGCGAAAGGGAAAACATACAGTGAAATCCTGGCCATGGTCACCAGAAGGGACGACAGCCAGCTTGCAGGCCTGGGTAATTGCGTCAAAAATGTTAGACGAACCACTAACGGAAACCTTTTGCTAGAGATGGCGAAGAATAGCGCTGAGAGCGCAGCGTCAATGCGAACGAGCATAGTGCAGGTGCTTGGTGAAACGGCGGAGGTTCGGGCGATGTCAGAGGACTCAAAGGTCTCGGTGCTCGAGATCCAAGAGCTGGACGCCCTAGCCAAAGAGCCCGAGATTGTGGCCGCGATCGCGGAGCAATTCAGCTTGGATGGGGCCAAGGTCAAAGTGCGAAGCCTCCGCCCTGGCTATGCTGAGTCACAGACGGCAGTAATTAGCCTCCCGTGCCCCCTGGCAAAGGCGGTGCTCAAGAGAGGTTCTCTACGCATAGGCTGGACTTCCTGCACGATCAGGGAGAAGACAGGCCCCCCAAGATGCTACCGGTGTCTCGAGGCTGGCCACCTGGCCGCAAACTGCAGAAGCGCGACTGACCGGAGCGGTTGCTGCATAAAATGCGGGGAGAGGGGACACAAAGCCGCTAAGTGCCCCAACGAGGCGAAATGCTTCCTCTGCGCTGCTTCCGGCAAGAAGGAGACGAGGCACCAGGCAGGCAGCAAAAGCTGCCCGTCCAGGAGCTCCAGTAGCAGTGGCGCCGTCCCCCGTAACGCGCCATGCAGTTGATTCAGCTGAACCTGAATCACTGCAGGGCAGCGCATGATCTGCTGATGCAGACAGTGCGCGACCTGGACGCGGATGTGGCGGTGCTCAGCGAGCCATACAAGGCTGCAAGCGCACATGGTTGGGCCATGGACCGGACTGGCAAAGCTGCGCTGTGGATGTGTGGGCGGGTCCCGCTCACATGTCCGACGTCAGATCGGCGGATGGCTTCGTTCGCTGCTACCTGGCACCAAGATTCACCCTGGAGGCCTTTAGCAGCATCATCGACGAGCTCAGCGATGACATCCGGGGACGGAGCAACACACTAGTGGGCGGCGACTTCAACGCTTGGGCTCAGGATTGGGGGTCGCCCTCAACCAACGCCAGAGGCCGCATCATCCTGGAGGCCTTCGCCTCCCTGGATATTGCTTTGCTCAACGAGGGTACCCAGCAAACCTTCAACAGAGCGGGAGCAGTGCACTAGCCTGCCTAGCCAGGTGGCGGATCAGCGAGATCTACACAGCCAGCGATCATAAGGCCATCCTCGTCTCCCTCGGCGAGGACCTACCTTGCAGAACGGTCCCGCCCAGCGCAAATAAGGCATATTGGCAAGACACGCTCAACGCCCAAGCGTTCTCGAGCGCCTTAGCGGGCCTAGCCACAGACGAAACGGACAGCGCTAACGATGCTGCGCTCAAACTGGCGGCCACGGTCGAGCGTGCATGCAATGCAAGTATGCAGAAGCGGAAATCTTTCCGGAAGCATCACGCACCGGTGTACTGGTGGAGCGATGACATCGCAAACCTCCGCTCCTCTTGCCTCCGAGCCAGGAGGAAAGTCCAGAGAGCGCGCGGCTCTCCGAGCTTACCAGCCCGCAGTGAGGCCTACAGGATCGCAAGGGCGGCCCTAAAGAAGGCGATAAAGTCCAGTAAGACAGAGTGCTTTCTTAAGTTATGCGACGAAGTCGAGAAGGACCCATGGGGCGGGGCCTACCAGAAAGTTGTTAAGCGAGTGAGCGCTGGCAGCAAGGCGCCAACTGACCCTGAGGCCGTCGAAGGCATAGTCAGGGTGCTATGTTTCGACTGGGCAACCGCTCAACTTCCATGTGAGCAGCGAGTCCATGGAGATATGCCCGGTCTCGGAGCAGGAGATCTTAGTGTCAGCGAGGACACTCAAAGACAAGAAGGCGCCAGGCCCTGATTCAATCCCTAACAGGGCGACCAAACTGCTGCTCACACTGCACGCCAAAGCGATCGCCGATATTTTCAACAAGTGCCTGGCGGAAGGCTCGTTCCCAGTGAGATGGAAGCGCCAGAAGCTTCTTCTTCTCCCGAAACCGGGGAAGCCAGCGGGCGAGGCATCTTTGTACAGACCCATCTGTCCGCTGGATACGATTGGGAAAGTATTCGAGAAGATGATTGTTTCGAGGCTGGAGGCAGCGATAGAGCGCGCTGGTGGGCTCGCGCCAAACCAGTTCGGCTTTCGGAAGAGGAGATCGACCCTGGATGCCATTGAAACGGTCACAAGCCTGGCCGCGAACGCCATCGCTGGCGCAAGATGGAAAAAAGGCGCCAAGGAATATTGTCTGGTAGTTACTCAAGACATCCGGAACGCCTTCAACTCTGCGGACTGGAGGCGGACACTGGAGGCACTGGAAGCCTTCAGCATCCCGGGCTACCTGCTGAGGATAGTCCGCAGCTACCTCAGCGAGAGGAGTCTCATCGTGGACACGTCCCAGGGTACCAGAACGCACGAGGTCTCAGCCGGAGTCCCGCAGGGCTCCGTTCTGGGACCGTTGCTCTGGAACACGATGTATAACGGGGTGCTAAACCTCCCGTTATCCTCGACACCACTATCGTCGGCTTTGCCGACGACGTGGCGCTGGTGGTCGTGGCGAAGGAGCTGACAGATGCGGAGACAGCGGCAAATAGTGCGATCCGTGCGGTCGAGTCCTGGCTTGCAGTCGCCGGCCTCGAACTGGCCTCGCACAAGACCGAAGCAGTCCTGATCTCCAGCAGGAAGCGCGTGGAAACGGCGGAGATCCGGGTAGGTGGACTTCCAAACACCTCCCAGCGCGCACTGAGGTACCTGGGCGTCATCCTGGACACACGCCTCTGCTACAGAGAACACTTAGAGTATGTTCACAAGAAGGCCAGCGAAACCGCAAGGTCCCTCTCCAGGATCCTGCTGAACACCAGGGGGCCCAAGCAGTGCAAGAGGAAGCTGCTCATGAGCGTCGTCACGTCGCAACTCCTCTATGCAGCCCCAGCCTGGGCGGAGGCTGTGAAAGTCAGGAGCTATGTGAGGGGTGTAGAAGGAACCTACCGCCTATGCGCTCTAAGAGTAGCGTGCGCCTTCAGGACTGTCTCCGACGACGCGGCCCTAGTCATAGCGGGGCAGGTGCCGATATGCGAGCTGGTTCGAGAAGCTCAGGAAGTACGTCTCTCACGCGAGCCGGACAACTCTTCGGCGAGGCGCGAGGCCAGAGTCAGTGCTAGGCGCAGGAGCATCGCCTGGTGGCAACCAGGTGGGACAGTTTCACAAAGGGCCGTTGGTTGATTCCGGACGTCCAAAGCTGGGTAGACCGAAAGCACGGAGAGGTAGACTTCTACCTGACACAGGCACTCAGTGGACACGGTTGCTTTCGAAGCTACCTCAAAAGATTCGACCACGATACAGAGGACCACAGCCCTGAATGCGTGCACCACGTTCTCTTCGATTGCCATCGATTCCACCACGAGCGGCTAGCACTGGAGGAAGTCGTGGGCGCTGCCATCGGAGCTGACAACCTGGTCCCCATCATGCTCGCCAGCCAGAAGGCCTGGGACGCGACAGCCACGTTCGTGGCAAGCGTCATGAAAACGCTGAGGACCCTGGAAACGGAAAGAAGGATGCCTGCGGAGTAGGTGGTCTGTACCTCGCGCGAAGCAATGCCTAGCGGCGGTACCGCGCGACCATGGCCATCTACACCGTTAACATATCACCTTTCTACCCAACAACCCGCAGTCTTCGTTTTTTTGTTGTTATTGTTTATTGCTTAGTCGTATGTATGTTTTAATCATGTTTTTATTTTGGTGCATATATTGTTTTCGTCCGTGTGTTTTTTTTCGGAGCAGTTGGCGCAAATTTGTTCGCTTTTACAAAAGACCGTGGGGTGTCCAAATTTTAAACAGTTGTAGCATCTCATTGGGGGTGGAATGTATGGGCGTACTTGGACGACTTCATAACCCATCCATAACTTTTCAGGTAAGTTAATTGTGGAGAATGTCAGAATGATTAAGCCAGTTTCTGTTGTTTCGTTGTTGTCTTTTTTTTAGGATTTTACGGACTTCTATCACATTTTGTGGCTTCATTTCTTCTAAGATTTCTTTTTCGTCAATGTTCCGAAGGTCGTTGGAGTAGATGACACCTTTAGAGGTATTGAGTGTTTTATGTACTTCGACATTAACTGGGAAGTCATGGAATGTTTTTAATTTGAGTAGTTTCTGAGCTTGTAGAATGTTTTTTGTTTTGATAAGGAGGGTTCCTGCTCTTGTTCTTTTGCAAGTTTCGACTGTTCCATTACAGGTTAAGTCTACAACTTTTTTTATTATAAATGGGTTAATGTTCTCGAATGTTTTTTTGTCAGTTCTACTAATTATTATGTATTTTGCTTCATTTGTTATCGTGTTGTTCGTTGTCAGAGGGCGGTCGGGTGGTCGAGACATCGTGGTATGGCTGGGCTCGGGCCCTATAGAGTATTGGTTCGGTTAGCTTAGTCTTTGTGTTTATTGTTTTTTACCCCTTTGCGCAAATAAGTCGCGAATTGATTGATCTAATTATAGATTTAATTGCTGATAAACTGTCGCTTAGGGATTTAATCGGTCGCACGTCTTTACTCTTTGAAGCTCGGAGTGAAACTGCTTTAAATTATTTTATTTGTTTGAATCCTTATTTTTCCTATTTTTATTTTATTCTCGACGGCAGGATCTCGCAGGATGCTTTGAAGGTTCGCGGGTGTCCTTAACGTGGTTGAAGTATAATTGAAAATCTTCCCGATGTGTGAAAGGCTACGAGCGATGTGAGTTCGATGAGTCGGTTTCCCGAGCGATGTGTATTCAATGACTTGATCTTCCGAAGTGTGTCCCCCTTAGCGAGGGTCCCCTGTTTTATAATAAGCTTAAGCTAGCCGACGCTGTTGCCGTGAGCAGAGCAGAACTGGAGATGTGTGTGGGCCCCGTGTGTGCGTGTGTTTCTCGAGGCGTCCCTCTGCCGGCGTTGACGCTGGCAGTGACGTTGACTATGATTATGCGGTAACTTTGATGCTTGCTTTGGCGGCGACGCGCCGTATGCACAAATGGAAAATTTTGTATTTGTCTATTCCCTTTCCCCTTTTGTTTCGCCGATTTTGGCTGGCGACTATACGCCGCGACCCGCGGGACAGAAAAATTCTACACTCGCAAATCTGACCAAAATATATATATATAATATAAAATATATTTTCTGAAATTAATTTTCCTATTTTTGTCCTCTAGAAAATTGAATTTTTCCTATTTCTGTGTTCTCGAAAATTAATTTTTTTTTCGTATTTTCGTCTCTTAGAAAATTCTGGTTTCGGCCAGTGGGCCTTTAATTCACTGGAAATTAATCCTAACTGTCCTGACCGGTCCCTGCTCCGGGCGCCATTTGTAAGGATGTGTCTTGGGCCGAGGTAAACCTCAGCGGCACAGGATTTCTCTCCAGTAATATTTATAAATTTTTAGAGACCGCCGGGACATGGACGCCGAATATTATTATGGATTTTCTAGGGGGCAAAAATGGCAGCGGAAAGGGGCTCGTCAGATTGTCAAATCTGATTTCGGGAAATGGGAATCTTGGACGCAGTCGCCCTGGCGATGGCCAGGTTCCCGTTCCCCGCGTCCGCTCGGTTGCCCAGCAGCGACGACTCTTTCCGGCCGGCAAAATCGGCCACGCGAAGTTGGTGCGGAGAGAGCCCCGGCACCAGCATAGCGAACGAGTAAGCGGGAGGGGAACTATTTTGGCGCGTGCCGCATAAGGGATGATTTTGCTATGTGAGATTTTATGCGGGTGCTAGGGAGAACGACGATCGAATTTCTGGCTTCATTTTCTTTACTTTATTTAATTTCTACATTATTCAAACAACTAAACCTGTCCCCAATCTGACCCTACGCCACACTCCAGAGTTTCCTGCCCAAACATTTGGCTCTCGGCCGGCTCACCCGTATTTGTAGGCTGCGCGGCTCCTCGATGATCCTGATCGCTGTCGGTGGGCTGAGACCCGTGTCCGGCAGCCAGGATATTTTTGCACTTTTTTAAACATGTGTCCTTTTTGGACTTTGTCGTCCGCGTCTGGAGAAGTATGTTTTACTCGCGTTCGTAGTTGCCAAAGAAGTGAAGTCGGTCAAGTCCGGGCAGAGCCCTAGTGACCTAATTCTGCCCAGAATTTGCGGGCAGCGCAGCTTTGATCTTCTGTTAGATCTGCCTCCGTCTCGCTCTGCCTGCAGCGCAAGCTTGTCCCTGCCCAGGCTCTGCTGAGCTTGGGCGCGACGTTCCTTTGGCAGCGCTTTCTTTGTGACGGCCTCTGCCGGCGTCGATCGCGTTCATTGGCGGACCGGGAGGGGAAATGTCGCTGCGCGTCTCCCTTTGAGTTTCGTCATTCTCTGTCGCTGGCTGGGCAGCGGAGAGGGGAAATGTCTTGAGCGTTTTCTTCTTTTGAGCTTCGGCATTCTCTGCCGCTGGTTTCTGTGAGTGCGCGGCTAACATTTCTGTTGTTGTCGTAGGTCGCGGTCACGCAGTCACTTCCCGAAAAATTTGTACACCTACTCGTTGTTCTGTCTTTGTGTAATTTGGCCCTTCATGGGTAAATTAAATCTTGGCTTCGTGCCGCTAGTGTAGGTATAATGTCGTGTGTTTTTTTTTTTTTTTTTTTTTTTTTTATATTCCATTTATTAACAAAATTAAATCTTAGTAATATACAAATAACAACAAAAAAGAACGAAGACTGCGAATTGTTGGTTTGAAGGCTGCTTTGATTTACGGTGTAGAGGGCCTTGGTCGTGCGGTACCGCCGCTAGGCATTGCTTCGCGCGAGGTACGGGCCACCTACTCCGCACGCATCCTTCTCTCCATCTCCAGGGTCCTCAGCGTTGTCATGACGCTTGCCACAAAAGTGGCAGTCGCGTCCCAGGCCTTCTGGCTGCCAAGCATAGAGGGGACCAGGTTGTCAGCTCCGATGGCAGCGCCCACGACTTCCTCCAGTGCCAGCCGCTCGTGGTGAAAACGATGGCATTCGAAAAGAACGTGGTGCGCGTTCTCTTCGACTGCGGTCCCGCATTCAGGGCTGTGGTCCTCTGTATCGTGGCCGAATCTTTTGAGGTAGCTTCGAAAGCAACCGTGTCCACTGAGTGCCTGTGTCAGGTAGAAGTCTACCTCTCCGTGCTTTCGGTCTACCCAGCTTTGAACGTCCGGAATCAACCAACGGCCCTTTGTGGAACTGTCCCACCTGGTTGCCACCAGGCGATGCTCCTGCGCCTAGCACTGACTCTGGCCTCGCGCCTCGCCGAAGAGTTGTCCGACTCGCGTGAGAGACGTACTTCCTGAGCTTCTCGCACCAGCTCGCCTATCGGCGCCTGCCCCGCAATGACCAGGGCCGCGTCGTCGGAGACAGTCCTGAAGGCGCACGCTACTCTTAGGGCGCATAGGCGGTAGGTTCCTTCTACACCCCTCACGTAGCTCCTGACTTTCACAGCCCCCGCCCAGGCTGGGGCTGCATAGAGGAGTTGCGACGTGACGGCACTCGTTAACAGCTTCCTCTTGCACTGCTTGGGCCCCCTGGTGTTAAGCAGGATCCTGGAGAGGGATCTTGCGGTTTCGCTGGCCTTTTTGTGAAGATTCTCAAGGTGTTCTCTGAAGCAGAGGCGTGTGTCCAGAATGACGCCCAGGTACCTCAGTGCGCGCTGCGAGGTGATTGGAAGTCCACCTACACGGATCTCCGCCGTTTCCACTCGCTTCCTGCTTGAGATCAGGACAGCTTCGGTCTTGTGCGAGGGCAGTTTAAGGCCGGCGACTGCAAGCCATGACTTGACCGCACGGATCGCACTATTTGCCGCTGTCTCCGCCTCTGCCAGCTCCTTAGCCACTACCACCAGCGCCATGTCATCGGCAAAGCCGACGATAGTGCTGTTCGAGGATAACGGGAGGTTTAGCACCCCGTTATACATCGTGTTCCAGAGCAGCGGTCCCAGAACGGAGCCCTGCGGGACTCCGGCTGAGACCTCGTGTGTTCTGGTGCCCAGGAATGTGTCCACGATGAGACTTCTCTCGCTGAGGTAGCTGCGGACTATCCGCAGCAGATAGCCCGGGATGCTGAAGGCTTCCAGAGCCTCCAGTGTCCGCCTCCAGTCCGCAGAGTTGAAGGCGTTCCGGATGTCTAGAGCAACTACCAGACAGTACTCTTTGGCGCCTTTTTTCCATCTTGTTCCAGCGATGGCGTTCGCAGCCAGGATTGTGACCGTTTCGATGGCATCCAGGGTCGATCTCCTCTTCCGGAAGCCGAACTGGTTTGGCGCGAGCCTACCAGCGCGCTCTATCGCTGCCTCCAGCCTCGAAACAATCGTCTTCTCAAATACTTTCCCAATCGTATCCAGCAGACGGATGGGTCTGTACGAAGATGCCTCGCCCTCTGGTTTCCCCGGTTTCGGGAGAAGAAGAAGCTTCTGGCGCTTCCATCTCTCTGGGAACGTGCCTTCCGCCAGGCACTTGTTGAAAATATCGGCGATCGCTTTGGCGTGCAGTGTAAGCAGCAGTTTGGTCGCCCTGTTAGGGATCGAATCAGGACCTGGCGCCTTCTTGTTTTTGAGTGTCCTCGCTGTCACTAAGATCTCCTGCTCCGAGACCGGGCATATCT